GCAAATAGTCCTGTACTTACCGTCCTATCAACTGAAGCCTCCAAGCCATCTCTTTAAGAACAGATCAGGAACTGGGCTGGAGTAAAGTGTTTATGGAATGAGAAATGCAGAAATTGTGGAACTTTCACCTCATAATGAAAGCTCTGTCCTCCAGAGAAAGGAAATAGATTCATCTTAAATTTCAGAATTCCTTCTTTGATAATTTGAAGTGTCCAGCTAGGCCTCAGACAGGCATGTGTGCAGGCAGACCCAGATGTGGATGTACTACTGACTAAAGCCTGACCATCTCTTCCCAACAGTAAATTAGACAGCTTGGCTGGCCTGTGGCCCTTGTGGTTCTGAAGGTGGGTGTGGGGAGTCCCATGGGATTTAATTAGTAGGAATTAACTTGCCGAATGAAGAATTTTTCCTTCCTGTATGGACTTGAAATCAACTGTCATCATAGCAAAAAGAATGAATCCTTTTAAAATTGGAAAGTCGGTCATTTCTCGGCAAATTTTTGGTTTCACTTAGCAGCCCCAGAGCTCATGGACTATGTCATTTGAGTCCTTTCAAATCTAAACCTAACCTTGTAATTCTCTGTGGGCTCTGACAGCCACAGAGCAGGAATGAGAAGCATGGTCTGGTTGGCTCCGCCCGAGGGGCCCTTACACAGAAGGCTGAATTGTGCCGGTGATGGCTCCCTGCAAAGGCTTGTTCTTTTATCACAGCAAATCAATCTGAGCAGTAACATGGCCCCCTAAATAGCAGGAGTCTATGTCCACCCCTCAGGGTTTTATAATATAACGTTTGCCAGTAGGATGGTGGTACAGGCGTTACTTTGAGGGCTTCGTTGGAGACTAGGGGAGAAGGATGAAGCCTTGTAATTTGATGGGTGCATTGCTTTCATTTCCTGGAGAGCTCCCAAAGAGACGGTATAGTAGGGACAGGATCTCACTTGTGATTAAAAAGAATTCTTTCTGTGAGTCTTCGAAGCCCTGTGCTCCCCGCTCTTTCCCTCCGGAGAGTTGCTTCACCGAGAGAGGCGCAGCCACGGTTCTGCCTTCGTGACTTGCCCACCCCGATTAAACACTAACGACAGCCCCCATGTGCTGAGCTCCCCCTACGAGCCGACCGTTGTGTGAAGCTGCTCTATAGACATAGTCATGCTTTGCGTGCGTTACCTCGTTAATTCTCATGACAGCTCCGTGCGGCGGGTGTTGATATCCCTTCACGTTGCAGCTAGAAGGACTGAAGCGTGGAGAAGTTAAGCCACATACCCAAGTGGTAGAGCCTGGGCGCGAACCCAGCCCCGTCCCTCAGTCAGTGGTTGCACCAGCCACACAGTTGCTCGGGCCAGAAAGCGCACGACTCTCGATTCCTTTCTTTTCTTCCTCCTCACATCCACTCTCTCACCAAGTCCTCTTGACTCTCTCTCCTAAAGATGCCCCAGGTCTGGCCACTTTTTTCCATCTCCACAACTCTAGCTTAGCCCACTCCCACATCAGCCCCACCTGGCACGCTGCAGCAACCTCTTCACACTCTAAAACTGGATCCTACCGCTGCCCTGTTTAAAACCCCCAGTGACTGCCCAGTTGCCGTGAGAAGAAAACCTAACCTTTCCCACGGCCCACGACAGGCTGCGTGATTGGGCCCTGGCTGCCCCGCCCCCTCACCCTGTCCTACTTTCATTCCAGCCTTTGCATGGGATCCCCCTGGTGAGAATGCTCTTCTCCAGATCTTTGCCCGGCTGGCTCCTTCTCCTCATTCAAGTCTCTGCTCAAAAATCCACTCCTCACAGGGGCCCTCTCGGATCACCATATGAAGAAGCCCTTCCCCAGCCTCACCCACAGCCCAGCCCAGTTCCTACATTGTATTTTCATCCCAGTGCCTCCCTTCTTTATCTTGCTCACTGCTGCATCTCCGGTGCCTAAGAGTGTGCCTGGAGCTGAGCAGATGCTCAGCACATGACTATGGAATGGATGGCGTCACGTGCTGGTCCCTTTGCCTAGAAAGCCCCGGCCATCCCGTGCCTCTCCCACACTGAACTGTGGAGCATCCTTCAGTTCTGGCTCAAACGTCGTTTCCTCAGGGAAGTTTTCTGTGACCCTCTGTTGCATCCTTTCGTCACCTTTGCTTTTCCTGCAAATAATCACATATGCTTGTGTGATTATTTGGTTAGAGCCTGTCTCTCCCACCTGACTGTAAGCTCCTTGAGGGCAGAGGGTGGTCCACCTTGCTCCCTGCTGTCCTCGTCGTGCCCAGCACATCCCTTTGTTGAATGGGTGAATGGAGGAGTGAATCCCTTTTCTGGTATCAGCTTGGTCCCCGGTTGGAATGTGTGTGCCTGAAATGAACAAGAAGTTCCTGAGTGCCCCTGACTCCCTGGTAATCTCATCAGTATGTGACTAGAGAGAGACTGCGGGAATAGGAAAGGCACCGTTCCTTTTGGGAATCTCCTGACCCGGTGACACCAACAAGTAGCCCACATTATGCTGCCTGAAACGTTGCTCTGCTTTTTCAGTGTTGCCTTTTATGTTTCCTTCTTAGGACTTATGTCCACCCATTGGATACCCCACCGGTGAGCGTGGAGCCCAGGAACACCCTCAGTCCACTTCACCAATGTCCCCTTTTTGTCATATTTCCAGTAACACATTGTTTTTAAAATGAGGCCCACCTGTATATAATTGTGAGACGTTATTATCAACCCTGGTAGACCTAGCAATAGATGAGGAACCTTTGGTTCAAAAATTCATATCCTGTTTCTGTGGCTGAGTGATTTTGAACAAAGCTTTTCACTTCAGTTGCTGGCTTGCTCTTTACACCTCCAAAGGACTGAAAGACTCAGAATCATAGAGATTCAGCTCATCAGTATGATCCCCAAACCCACTGTTGAGCCAGTGGGATCAGGAATCCAGTGCTACTAACTAATTTAACTTGTTGTTGAAGCTTAGATTCCCTTTCTCACCCTCACCCTAAAATACCAGCAACCCTCACAGAGACAACTAAAACTTAGAAATATGGCTTTCAAAGAAACATTTCTAAAAATATCCTAATTTTGAAAATGAATGTAAATTGCTTTACATTTATAAGGATTTTTTTTTCCATATCAGGCAACGAAGCCATAGTTCGGAGTGTATACATTTGAAATGTTTGCTGGGTTCTTAGACCATATTGTTTCTCCAGAGGATACCACAAAAATCATTGTCCTACTACTGATTACCTAGAGCTAATACATTAATCACAGGGCTTTCTTCATACCCCAAGGCTCTGTCTAGCTACATAATAGCATCCAAGTGTTTGGGCCAAGAATTAAGTAGTTTACATGAATGTAAGTGGAATTGCCTTAAAGCCTACACCAGACACAGGTGTGGTTTTTGTTTTTGTGTTTAAGTTTTATTTTTCTGGGTTGTTTGTTTGGTTCTTTTTTTCTTCTTCTTCTTCTTCCTTTCTTTCTCTTTTGGTAATATCTTCAGCTGATGTCCTGGCACTTGACAAAGTCATTCACACACTGTGGTCCATCTGCCTTCCCTCTTGGTGTAGGGATTAGTTCAAGCTGCTCCACTGATATATGCTCAAATGTCATAAGTACTTTTAGAAGCTCCTCTCTACCCAGCTTCTTGTCTCCAGAGAGTCATTCCTTTCCCCTTCCCCTCTTCCCCAGTACCAGCCAATCCCTTTTATCCTGCTTGTCCACTTAGTTCCCCTTCTGCTAGAACTCCCAGCTCCCTGGCATAAATAACATCCTGAGGTAGAATTTGTAAAAAATTCCAAAGATCTGCCTCGATTCTGTTGTCACATTGGACTCATCGTCGGTAATATGTATCCTGTGCTTCTCCTAGGGTTTCACATGCTTTATCACATTTAATCACTCAAGTAGTCCTGTAACTCTATCCTCCTCATTCAGCAGATCGGGCCGCCGGGGCTCAGAGAAGCTAGGCGGTTTGGCCAGTGCAGCAGCGTTAGAGCTAAAAACCCACATCTCCTGCCTCCAGCTTTCCCACTAGCCCAAGGTCCCACTCGATGACATCTTTTGAAAGAATGGTCACATTCAGGAGCTGGGAAGTAACTTCTCTCAAGGTTTTATTGTGGTTGTTGTAATGAGACTTATTTGGGAAGGGACTTCTCTCTATAATCTAGAACACAAAAGATTAGCTCTATAGTTTCTTTTTAAAAAAAAAAATTTTTTTTTTTTTTTGTCTGTTGGATCTTCGTTGCTGCGCACGGGCTTTCTCTAGTTGCGGCGAGCGGGGGCTACTCTTCGTTGCGGTACGCAGGCTTCTCATTGCGGTGACTTCTCTTGTTGTGGAGCATGGGCTCTAGGCACGAGGGCTTCGGTAGTTGTGGCTCACGGGCTCTAGAGCACAGGCTCAGTAGTTGTGGCGCACGGGCTTATTTGCTCCACGGCATGTGGGATCTTCCCGGACCAGGGCTCGAACCTGTGTCCCCTGCATTGGCAGGCAGATTCTTAACCATTGCACCACCAGGGAAGTCCTACAGTTTGTTCTTGAATTCAAACCCATCTGGCATTTTTACTCATTCATATTTATGAAGACCTATGACATGCCAGACACCAGAGATAGAAACAAGACATGTGATTCCTGCTGTCACAGAAGCTAGTGGGGAGAAGACAAATAAATGAGCAGTTGTGGCATTTTAGTAAATACCTGGGTAGGGGACATACCGGGGTGATGGGAGCGTGTGACTGGGACTTATAAGCCAGACTTGACAGGTGAGAAAGGCTTCCCAAAAGAGGGGACTTCTGACTTGAAGACTGAAGGATGACGGAGAATTTTAGGCAGCTTGGGATTGGGGTTGGGTGGGCAGTAAGGTTTCAGGAAGAGGAAAAAGTAGTGTGAAGGCCTGGAGGTGAGAATGTGGCCCAGGTTGTCTCAGTTTTTGCTCATTAGATCAGATTTCATGATGTAGCTGTTGGAGAGACTTGGAAAAAGCAGATCAGTGGGGAAAGCTACTGACCACGCTCAGAAAATACCTATTTGTTTTTCACATCTAATCAACAGAAAAAACTCGAGTCTCCACTCGCATCCACCAATCCCTTCCTAGAAGATGAGCCAGCACCAGAGATGGAGGAACTGGCGATGGAAAAAGGAGACGTAGAGCAAGTAAGTCTGGTTTGCATTTCCCTGTGCAACCTACCTAATGTTTGTTTCTGAAAATGGGTCTGCTTGCTCTAAATATGATCCCTTGGCTGTTGACTACATTCAGAGATTACAACCTTGGTGGTCTTTATAGAAGGCCTTGATCTGAAAGTGCATTTAGAAACCGGAGTGAAAGAGCAGCCCTTCCTGCCCCACCCCTTGGCTCCCGAATGGCACACCGGCCTTAGCAACACGGCCAAGCTTAATTAATTAGCCCATGTGGTGGGGCAGCAGAACTCTGCCCTGCCTCCTTCATCATCTCCCAAGCTTGTCAGCTTAGCTTTCCATTGTCCCCTGATCTGGTCTGGTGATGACATGAGTGGCTGAAAGATCCCGGGTGAAGTTAGCAGCACCGTCAGCCAGGAGAGGTCTCCGCTCAGCATAAGCCGAGCACCTTAGTCTGGAAGCCGGTGGAGAGGCCTGGAAACACCATGGTGACCAATGGCGTATTTGGAGACTTACTTTTCAGAGCACACCAGCACTTTCATTTCCTTCAGCTTTTTCTGTCCAACTCTAAATTTCCTCTCCCTTCATCCCACAGAATGGTGTTTTTGTTTCACTGCCATTTTATGGTGAGAGAGCTTAGAGCAATAAATCAGGACTTTTCCTGTCTGGATTAGTGATCCTTCTTTTTAATTTTCTACACTTGGCTGCTAGAGGATTATTTTATGGTATTGTTTTTGCCCCAGACATCACCGAAAGGGAGGCCTACTGGGAAGAGCAGCTCTGGGAAACCCGTAGCCACGCACTTTGCAGTTAACCCTGCATTCCTAGCATGGGGAGGGTAGGTGTACAATCCTGGCAGGAGCCAAGAGAGCAGAGTTTCCAGGAGCAGTTCTGAAGTGACGTCATCAAATGTGTCTGATCCATCGATTAAATAATTATAATAACATGGATGCCTCACATTTTCATGGTGCTTTATGGTTTAAAAGTCCTTTCCACGCTTTATTCCCTTTCATCCTCACAATGCCTGCCTTTCCTTTTATAGGATTTTATATGGGAGCTGCAGGTTAAGTGACTAGCCCAGGGTTACACAGTTTGAAAGTGGAGGAGCTGAGACCAGAAGCTAGGTCTAGAAGTCAGAGACTAGAATTCCTTTTCTGGCGTTCCTTCTATTACATCGGTGATGTCTCCCTGAAAAGTGGAGGACATAGAGATGCATCCCGTGAATAAAAGTGAATGGATAAAACTGAAGGGATACCTTGAGGCCGTATCCCAGAGATCTATGGGATTAGACGTAATTGATTTAAAGCCATCATATCAGCTAGGCTGGGAGAAAACAAAAGATTTCCTCTAACTAAAGAAATGCGTCTCTCACATTTTGGGAGGAAGGACTGGGGTGGGAAAGAAAACTCTGGGTGTGGAGCTCATCCTTCCCATGTATCCTCCACCCGCGCTTGGCACCTGCACCCTCTGAGCTGGCCGTGTGTAGCTGGGACGTTTTCAGGGCCCTCATGTCTCCCCAGTACAAGTGGCTGCCATTGTCATGTCCAGAATTGTGTAGCTGAGCACTCGGATGGCTGCCGTGAAAAGTTATCCCTTTCGCTAGTCATCTCTGGATATTACTAAACTGGATTATGATAGCCCCCATCAGCTACAAAATCAGTTTTGCCAGGTAACATATGATTTTTCTTTCTTGTGGGACTTTTTACTCATCTTTTAAGCCTGAGGTTACTGTCTTAAAGACAAGGGCCTGCTCATTCTAAGGACACAGAACACAGGTACACGGGGTAAAGCAGAGTCACGTGATGGGGAAGATGCCAGACTCCGGTTTGCCATTAGCTGCCTGCATGACCTTAGGTAGGCTCTTACTCTCTCTAGACTTCCCTCGTTTCCCCGTGTGTAGAGAGCCAGTGGTTCTCCAGCTGTGCTCCTTGGTGCCCTGTCAGATGCCACTGTGGGGAGTTGGGGTGAGACCAGGGCCCCCCTTTTCCCAGCCACTCGCTGGCTTCTGGAGCTGGGCGCACAGGAAGATGAGGAGCCAGGTGGGGCGCTCAGGGCAAGCCCACAGTGCACTAGCGGCAAGCTCGGCCAGAGGTGGCGGCAGGCCCCAGTAGTTGTCCTGGGTTACCCAACCCACTGCATCACTGCAGTTGGCAGACGGGTGGCCCTCGAGGTGAGGGTCGCTCCCTGCTCACCACTGCAGTTAGGCTCTGGAGGAGGGAGCGTGAACTTGAAAAGAGGTATTTAGTTTGAACAATCAGTTGCCAACATGTTCCTGATGATTAAAAACTGGCATCTGAAGAGGGACGGAGGGTACTCAGAGTATAAAAGGAAGAGAGAAGAAATAAGGAGTTTCTGGTTTTAAAAGGCACCCTTCTGGTGATCCGAGCAGTTAGATTTAATCTGTTTACACTGGATAGTAATAAAAGGAAATGAGACCAGCTGCAGACCTCCTCACTGTGACAACAGTAACCTTTTGTGATTCCATCGAGCTCCAGGAGGACATAGCTTAGACATCTGCAGCTTTTGGACGGAACCACACACTCCCGGACCCAGCCTGAGTGCTACTGCTAAGTGACTTAGTGTATTCTTTAAGCTGAGAGCAGCCCTTTGGGGAGCTGGACGGTACACAGGGAGTCACCAGTATGAGCCGAAATTCCAGCCCATTTCTTCTAAATATGAGCACAGCTAGGAGGCAGCCAGAGGCAGGAGGCAGCCCTGTGGAAAAAAAAGAAAACAGGAAACTTCAGGCAATCCCTCCCATTGTTCCCCTCTTGCTTCCAACTCACGTTGAAAACACTGTAAGAGGACAGAGAGCCATGGCGACAGGGCCCTCCTCACTGCCAGGAGTGCCGTTAGCGGGCAGAGGCTGGGCGGAGCGGACTCCCCTGTGGGGACGGGGGTCGGGCCACCTGCACTGTCTGGTTGTGCGGCTTTCTGAGCCACATCCAGAGGGCTCTGTGGGGCCTCATCAAGCACGGGGCCTCTGGGAGACTGATCAAGATGAGTTTGTTGGAAAATCATGTAGTCATTTTCCTTAATCATTAGAATCTATGTTTATACTGAATGAGCTCTTCAGACTTATCCATACATTTTTATCATGTATCACTTTTGTACATACATAAAAAGGAAAATATAAGCAAAATAAATAGGTTAAGATATTCCCAAGACTTCTTCACATTCAGAGTCTAACTCTGCTGAACCACTTAAAAAAAAAAAAACTTTTTATTTTGAAATAATTATAGACTCATAAGAAGTTGCACAGAGAGGTCCTGGGTACCCACCTCTCAGCTTCCCCCAGTGCTGATGGCTAACGTAACTATAGTGCGTTATCAAAACCAGGACGTTGGCTCTAACCCCGTTTTCACTCGGGCGTGGATGTCTGTGTTTCCCCACGGTGTGGTCCTCTAGGTCATCCGGAGTGTTGGTGATATGCCGTTTCTCAGAATGCTCCACTACTGTACCTGGGATTATCTGCCACGTTTTTTTATTGTTATTTTAAACTTTTTTTTCTTTTTTAATAATGTCAAACTTAGGGAAAGTTTTAAGAATATTACAAGGAACTCTCAACTATCTTTCACTTGGGTTCACCAGTTGTTACTATTTTGCTACATTTACTTTTCCATTTCCTCCCCCCTCCCTCTCTCTCTCTCTCTCTCTCTTTCTCTCCCTCCCTCCCTCTCTCTCTTTCAGAACAAGTAAGTTTATAGGTATCACACCCTTTGCCTCTGAGTATTTCAGTATGTATTTCCTTTTTAGGAAATATATTCACTTAAGAAAGATTTTCACTTAAATTACTACAGATCAAAATCAGAAAACTTAACATTAGTACCATACTATTATCTCATTTACACTTATATAAATTTTATAATGTGATTCAAGAGTGATAAATTGAAACATTGTCAGTAGTTGGAAAAGTACACATAAATTAGTAGGTAAATAAAGCCAAATACAAAATACACATGTTGATTTAAAACATGACAACATTCTGTATTATATAAACTCCCATTTATAATTTCCAGAAGCTATCCTACAGATGTGTGAATATTTTTGTCAAGGGAAGAAGATATACATAAAGGGAATAATTATAATATTTATGAAGATTCTGTTTTAATTAATGAAAAGATATATGGCTATAGTGGCCATATTTTCCAGTTCTAAAATCAGGATATCTAATCCTACAGAAGTTATTCAGATTAAATCACATTTGTCTATTCATTTATCTGATCATCTTATTGAAAAGAATAGAATAATTTTTTTTAAAAGGTAACTGACTTGGAAAATGTAGAACAAATAGATAAGGACCATACCTTCACAACCATCATACTACATCATGAATCCCTCATTTTAAACTAATGGAAATGTGGAAAAACTCCTAAGGCACCTGTGAAATGAAGTGGGACTTTGAATCCAGTCAGTTTAAACTCAATGAACCCGAACTTGAGAGCCTCTTACAGTCTCAGCCTAAGGCCTGACTTTGGCAGTGGCTTCTGGATGATAAGAGAAAATAGCCCAGACTGTAGTTATTCTTAGGAAGGACCAGAGTTTCTTCAAATCCTGCAAAAAAAAATTAAAGACATGGAACTCTTAGAAGGTGAAAAGGGAAGAGAGTTAAACATGAAATTAAATGGGATATATCTACAGTTGACATTTAATTTTTGGTGATCATTACCAGTTTTTACAGATGCTTTTAACCATTACAACGTTTTATTTGTTTTCAATTACTAGAAGAAGGTAATCATTTCTGTCTGTCATTAGTGGGCTTAGCTTTTCCTCTTTTTATTAAAAGACACGAACCATTCAATTCAACGGGTGTGCTGTGCGTGCCAATTTATATCCAGATTGTACTCTTGTATCAAGCCCAGCAAAGGCTCAAGGACCTCTGTCTATTTTCAGATACCAACAGACAGAAATAGATAGAATTGGATTTTTTTTTAGGAACAGAAAGAAATATGTAGGAAGATCCTTGTTTATTTTTTAGATGTTTTGAAAGGGAATTTAAGTAGCAAATAATAGTTTTTAAATGCTTGCCTGCCCGGATGACCTTTTTATCAGTGGTTTCCCAGTTTCAGTTGGGGACCAGTACTGATCCAGGTTTTAGCTGGTGCAAGGCAAAAAGTAAAGACAAAACAGCCAGCCTGTGTGTCTATCTCTTTGTCTTTCTATCTGGTGTAAGGTCACCAACTAACTGTCTTTTCTTGGGAAGGACGGCCTTTATGCGACTATTTTCTCTTATAAAATGTTTGGGTATAAAAGTTCTTTTAGGAACTTGTGGTTAGAGTAGAAAGTAACGAAATAAAAAGTTAGCAACCCTGTGTTGACCCCCTACTTTTCTTTTTTTCTTATATTTGTTGGTGAAATTCAACAGTCTTAGGAAGCACCGCAAGACAGCAATGATCTACTAGAAAGAGTCCTGGTTTAGGAGACAGGAAACTTCACCATGTGCCTTGAGGCAGGCTGCTAACACCCTCTGAGCCTCCCTTTCTTTAGGTGTAAAATAGTAGTAATAATTCCTATATTGAGGATTGTTTTGAGGAAGAGATGAGATATTTCGTACCAAAGTGCTTGGCTCATAATAACAAGCAGTAAATGGAGGCCTTTACAACTGGATGGTGTGAAAGCACTTTATATGTTCCAAAGCACGGCACAGCTCTGCGGTGCTGTTATTAGCTAGAATTTACATTTTGAAAACATCAGTCAGATGATGAAGAGCTTCCAAATTGAAAACGCATGTGTTATCAAAGTAGCAATAAATCTTTCACCACGCAGAGCACGTAAATGATGCCAACAAAGCTGGCTTATTGTTCACAAACTGGCATGACTCATAATACAGGACATAGTCTCAGTCTAGTTACGCTGAGTGCTTCTTATCTGTAAGTTGGGAGTGAACTTTGAAGGGATGTTTTCTTTGAAACTGCTTGAAAGTTTGCAAAGATGGCTCAAGTATAGGGTTTCTTTTTTCTTCTTTTCTTTTCTTTTTTTTTTTCCTTTACAGCCAAAGAAGCCTAAAGCCCCAGACAATCCATTTCACGGCATTGTTTCCAAGTGTTTTGAGCCTCATCTCTACGTGTATATTGAGTCCCAGGACAAGTGAGTGATGCACATTTTGCTGCCTTCTGCATATCTCGCTCCTTGGGTCAGGGCTGGGGCCTCACAAGGGCACAGCTCCTTCTAGAGGTTGAAGGAGGGACTTGGGGCACCCGTTACCCTCCCTGGAAACCTGTTAAGGATGTTTTTCTGCCTTTTGAGTGTTATGATGTGTTGTGTCCATAAATCTCAGAAGCCTGAGTTTGACTCTAACAAGGTTCCAAACAGGTCCCAGCACCAACTTCCCAGGTGGGCGCTGAGCCCGTATCCCACTCTGTATGTCAGCCCGTGAGGCTTTACAATGTCAGGCGCTGCAAAGTGGAGAAAGAAAGCCTCATCTCTAATGTATATGTTTTCAAGTATAATTTGTTTTAACTTTTCACTGTGAAATCATTTAGACTTACCAAAAGGTTTTAAAAAGCTCTCATATACCCTTCGCCCAGAGAAATGTTAACAGTTTACATAACCGCAGTTATCCAAACAGGAAGGTACCCTTCTCCCACGAACGTCCTTTCTCTGGTCCAAGATTCAATCGTGCATTTAGTTGTCAGGTCTCGTTAGGCTCCGTTGAGCTGGAATAATTCCTCAGTCTTTTCTTTGTCGTTCATGACCTTGACACTTTTAAAGAGTGTTTGACCAGCTATTTTGTCCAAAGCTCTCAGTTTCTGTTCGTGATGTTTCCTCTTGATTAAATCAAGGTTATGCACTTTGGGCAAGAATACCACAGAGGTGACATTGTGTCCTTCTCAGAGCCCAGTGCGTGATGTCAGGAGGCATCTCACCTGGATTTGTCCTGTTATTGCTGAGGTTGACCTTGACCACTTGCTAAAGTGATGTCTGCCAGCTTTCTTCCTGTGAAGCCACTATTTTTTGCTTTGTAATTCATAAGTATCTTGGGGGGGGGGGATACTTGGGGACTATGTAAATATCCCATGTCTCATCATACTTTGCCCGCTCATTTTTCACATCCCTTGACGATTCCTGCCTGAAACAATGATTACTGTAGTGTTTGCCAAACATTGATCGTCTGTTTCTGTCATTTCTTCTATATTTACTCATTAGGGTTCTACTATAAGGAAGAGCTTCCTCTTCTCCCCCACTTGTTGATTTGTTTGTTTTTTCCTGTTTGGGCTGATGTGTTATATTTTCTTTGATGAATTATCATCCATTTAACATATGTGCTTTTTACAGAGGGGCTCCAGAAAATGTTTACAAAGCAGCCCACTGCAGCCAGGTTCCCTCACAGCCAGAAGAGTATGGTCATGTTCCAGTATCCATTGTTCATGCAAAGGACAGAGATCCCTCTTCATCCCTGAATCTCTGTCCACAGCCAGAGCAACTGTGGAAGGCCCTTCCATGCCGGAAGGCACATTTTGGAAAGGCCCGGTTTCTGGAACAGGCCGAACTGACCAGAGACAGGCTGGTCCAGGCTCTGAGGAAAGGCCCGTAGCCTAAAGAACACACGCTTGGGAGGACCAGACAGTGGGTCACACAGGGAGGACAGCAGCTGTGAGAAAGTTCTTGAGGGGAGTTCTCGGGGAAAGCATTTAGGTGCTGAAGTCCAGTCCTTTTTTTTTTTTTTTTTCCCCTAATGCTTCCTTCAGTTTAGCACATTCTTGCTTCCAAGTATGTTTCAAGGGTAAACCACCAGGTTAGGGGAACATTTCAAACGGCTATTTGTGTCTTAAATGGAACATTATTGTTATTCAACGATTGGATTTCATATCAGTAGATTGCTTCTATTCTTCTATTCCCTGATGACAAAATGCTTCATACGAAAACCCCAGAAAATTATCTTTGTAAAAGCGCTTCTACGTTAACGAAAACAACCTCCTCACCGCCCCCCACCTCACACAGAAGAAGTTGCCTTGACGTTTTTTGCCTTGTAAAGGCCCGGTTTTCCTCCTGCTCTCTGTCTATTGGGCTTGTGTCTGCAGGCGTGCAGAAGGGCGGTAGTTACTATTGCCGTTTAGTCCTTTGAAAACACCCTCTCTTCTGCATTCACAAAGTTTTCTCTCAGGATATTAATAAGACACCCTTACGGGGCCGGAAAAGGAGCAGCTCTTTGCCTGTTAGATGAACAGGTCTTGGAGCAGCCCACCCGTATGACTATTTTGGGACAAAGCCCTCTCTTCTCTTATCAATCCAAATTCTTATTTTTTAAAAGGCTTAAAAGCTATTGGGTCCAGGGTTTAAAGTGCACTTCTGAGATAACCATGTACTTTCTCAAAACTTATCTGGTCCAAAGAGTCAGTTTCCTGAATTATCTGGTGTAATTCTGGGATCTACTCTTTTCGCATGGCCTTGATTCGTATAAAGCACACTCATTGTTCGTGAGACTTTGGGCAAAGAGCCAGCCCTCCCTTCCTTAGGGACTCTCCATTTCTGTATGAAAAATGCAGTGCTGGCCCCTCATCCTGCCGTCTGGCCTCGCTGGGATGTTTCCACAGCACTAGTGCAGTAGCGGAAGCTTCTCGTAGGAGAACTGCGTAGGCTGTGCTGTTGTCGCTCCAGAATAAACAGCAAAAGCTTGAAGTAGAAAATAGAGTTCAAGAAATCCATTTCCTCGTCTGTTAAAGGAGAGCATCAGACAAAATAATGCCTAAAGCAGCAGGTTATTAACCTCTTTTGAGTCATAGATCCCTCTGAGAACCCGATGAAAACCACAGGTCCTCTTGCCAAAAAAACATCCACATAAACCCACACGCTATTTTGAGCACAATTTCAAGGGGTTCTACGAAGCTCGTCCTCCCTTAAGTCAGAGAATCCTAAGGCTGGGGAAGGAGCTCAGGTCGGGACTGATTTGGGACAAATTACTCCTCTTGTTGTAGTTCTGACTCAAAAATCTGCCAAGGGAGGAAAATCTGAGACCATTCACAAGTTCCCCGATGACTGAGACCCAACCCAGGGTAGTGGAAAGAGCATAGGCCTGGGTGCCAGACAGACCTGGACTTGAGTCCGCGCTCTGCACTCACCAGCCTGGGGCCTTGAGCATGGCCCTAACCTCTCCGAGTTTATTTTGTGCTCTCTACGGTCAAGTGAATAATGCCCCCCTCACAGGATTAGCGGTGAGGAATAAATGACATGACACGTTGTCACTCGGCACAAGTAAACAGCACTCGGGAACTGTGCCTGCCCTGCCCTTCCGGTGATCTTGTTCTGGACTGTCAGGTGGTTGGGTGGCCTGCTTGGTGCTGCCAGCTCTCTGTGGGCTTGGCATGGGGTCCACTCTTCCGTCTCCCCAGCCTCCCACCTGCCCGGGGAGAGTCCTGGCAGCACCTGCCCCAGCCCAAAGCCCAGCCTTGGTAGGAGGACTGCGGCGCCAGTGCCCAGGGAGGAGGAGTGGGGATGTCCCTCGGCCACCTCTTAGCTGGCTGGGCTGAGCTGTCCTCCTGTGCTTTGAGCAGTTTTCTCAGTTTTTGTCTATGTCCAAGGAGGAAGTTAGTAGTGTCTCTTCTACTCTTGGGGATGTAGGCGTTTTCTTTGGCTGACTTGCAGGAGACATTTCTCTCCATAGGCACTTTCTTCACTCCATTCAGTGACATTCTCAGTCCAAGAAATTATTAGGGACTCCATTTCTGCCCATTCTCCTGAGTTCCCTGTCATAGCTTTCGTTGAAATAGAACCCGCCACCTCTTCTAGCTGGGTGAAGCCTAGAGTCTCTCTATAAACTAATGTTGCTTGTTGTTTGTTTTGAATTAATTTCAAACTTTCAGAAGAGTTCCAAGAATCGTACTTAGAGCTCCTGTGTATCCTTCACCCAGGTTCCTCAGTTAACAGCTGTCTCTCCCGCCTCTGACACACACACTGACAGACACACACATACTCACGGATATATGCACATACATGTTGTTTTTCCTGAGAGATTCAAATTCTCAAATTGCAGGCAAGATGCCCCATTACTCCTTAATATTTCAGTGTGTGTTTCCTGTAAATAAGGACACAGTCTATGTAACCATAGTACAAACCATCAAAATCAGGAAGGTAACATTGATGCAGCACTCCCATTAAATCCATAGACCCCATTCCCTTTCCCCATTTGCCCCAATCCTGTTTTTTATAGATCTCAGATCCATTCCGGGATCACAGGTTACATTTATTTGTCATGTCTCTTTGGTTCAATCCAGAAGAATAATCTATTCTTTCTTTATCTTTCATGACTTGGAAAATTTTTTTAAATTAATTAATTATTTTATTTTATTTTTGGCTGCGTTGGGTCTTCGTTGCTGTGCGCAGGCTTTCTCTAGTTGCAGCGAGCGGGGGCTACTCTTCATTGCCCCGCGCGGGCTTCTCCTTGGCGGAGCACGGGCTCTAGGCACACAGGCTCAGGAGTTGTGGCGCACAGGCTTAGTTGCTCCACAGTATGTGGGATCTTCCCGGACCAGGGCTCGAACCCGTGTGCCCTGCATTGGGAGGTGGACTCCTAACCACTGCGCCACCGGGAAGTCCCACGACTTGGAAATTTTTGACACGTGTAGGCCAGTTACTTTGTGGAATGTTCCTCAGTCTGGTTCTGACTGATGCTGGCTCATGATTTATGATTCATACAGAAGTGGTGCCATGTTCTTCTCAGTAACTCTTGTCAGGAGACACACGGTATCAATGTGTCCCACAACTTGTGCTGGTCAATTTTACTACTTGGTTTAGATGGTATTGGCCAGGTTTCTCTATTAATTAATAAGTAATTAGTAAGTGTTGATTAACCTTGAAACCATATAAATAGCCTTTTTCTCGTCTTTCACTTACTTATTTTACCATCTGTTAATGACACTTGCCTGAATCACTTATTACTAAATGGTTGCCAAATAATTATTTTTCTAATTCCATCATTTCTTCTACATTTATTCTGTTTTAAGAAACAGCCTTCTCTTTTCCCCATTTATTTGTATCAGCATGGACAGATTCCTATTTGTGGATATAGGAATTTGGATTCCTATTTTATTCAATGGGTTATAGTCATTACTATCTTTTTTTTTTTTAACTTTATGCTCGAATAAATTTAG